CTGCTTCTCTTTCTTAATTAAAGAATTAAGCCGAAACTCGAATAAGGAAACATTTAAACGTAATTGAAACTTAGAATTTTATGCTAGTAAAAGAGCACTGTAAACTTTTTTTTTTTTTTAATATTTAATAGTTGACCGTTGCAGTATAAAGGAAGAAGATGGTCCGGGGTGGCGGTCATAAATAGGCTAAATAGTGGCAAAACTATTTTATTAAAAGCCAACGTTCCCAACCGACTTTGCGGGTCTTCTTCAGGGAGGTGTGTTCAGCTAGGAGTTTCACTTAGAACTGTTTTAAGTTTAAAAACTTGGTCATGGCTCCGACATGGCATCGTCATAATGATCATAATAAAATAGAATAGTGGACTACACAACATGCTAATTGTGTGAGGTCGCTGAAAACAAGGAACACTGCAATAGTTTGATATCACAATTTTAAAATATTGGGATCAATTCTGTTTCGCGAACTACCGAAACCATTTTACAGGTTAAGCTTCTCGACATAAGTGAGTCCATACAAGAAACTGATCGTGAAAATTAACCATGTTAAAGGGCCTTGATACATATCTTATTTGTGACCCAGAAAAAGGCCTGCAATGTGGGTCTGGACAACGTAGGAATATATTGAAGAGTTCATACTATTTCATGTCCTTCTTGGTATGCCTTCGTACCATTTAATTATTTATAATAAGTATTGTTATCAAGTTACAACTTATTTAGAAATAAAATCAAGTCCCGTAAACTGAGAGTAAAATATTTGTTATCAATACCTAAAGGTTGGCAAATGCTGCTCTGAGTACCGAGTACCAAGTATTTTACTAAAATTGAATCACTATTGAGAATTCAATCAATACTTCGGTTAATCCTTTGACATCAACTGTAGTAGTGATAAAATTCTTAGGACTCAAAAAAGGTCAGTATTTGAATAAAATACTTAACCCACCACTAGCAGTAGCTTTTGACCATATTTTTTTTTCTTTTTTTAAATCTTTTTATAATACATTTTGCCACATTTAAGGGCACTGAGTACTAAAGCTGAGTGAGGCCCATTCATACTATATATACAATGCGATAAATAAATAAAAAATAAAAATATATATCAATATAACAAAGGTAAAAACTATAAAACCAAAGAAATGTAACTGGAAATCAAACTTAACAAAAAAAACAAAAAAAAAAAAACAGAAATTGGTAGCAAATTAAATAAGTCATGAGTAAAACAAGTAAATATATAAAAAAGAAAAACATTCATACTTAATGACCATATCTGGCCTAAACTAACGAATGGGTGGATTAAGTTGAATCGGTGGATACAAAAGGCCTGTTTTAACCGGGCAAATACCTCTCTCAGCACCAAGTATTTTACTCAAATTGTATCACTATTGGACATTCAATCACTACTACAGTTAAAACTTTGACATCTACTGGTTGTAATAAAATACTATGGTAGTAAAAAAAAAAAGTCAGTATTTGAGTAAAACACCCCGTTACTCAGTACTCAAAATTGCATTTGCCCATCTCTGGTTTTAAACACATGTACATTACTATAGTGTTGTACAATAAGCTGTACAAGTATGATCATAATTAAATTCCTATCATTAAGAGCCCACATACTGGTTCGAGACAGACATAAAACAAACGGTCTCGGAGATAAGCACCGTGAGAACACACTGAGGTCAGAGATAAGAAGCTCTCGAGAGCTGAGAGGGATAGAGAGGCATTAGTGGTGGGTACATATCTTCTCTAAGGCAATGGAAATACGCTCATACATGCTTCTTCAAGATAAGAGTTATTTAAAAATAATCTCAAGGATCAATAATGGGTCCTTTTCTATACACTATATATACGCATGACGTTCCGAAATATTGACCGCTACTCTGACGATGAAATTTTTTTAACATTCAAAATTCTTGTTTTCATGAAACTTTCACTTGAGCCTCAAGAGTGCAGTGGACAAAAAAGTGCAACAAGATAGTAGCGCAGTACATGCCTACACAAAGCAGCAGACTGAACTAACACAGAGTATCAACAACGAAAGCACCCCAAACTAAATTTTACCCGCTGTCCCAAAGTTATCCCATCTTACGATAATAATAAAGTATACATATGACAAAGATCGGCGTTACTTTGGGACTAGTATATAAATATGCCTATGTCCATGATGTTAATTTTACTTTTTGGAAGTATATGTCATTTATATTTGCTCCTATTCTTTTTTTCATTACGTAATTTTATTTTCTTCTTATTTGTACATATTATACAGCTATCACTCAAATTAATTTCTTCATATTTTCTGTAAATATAGTCTGAGTGTGCTCTCTTGTCTATATTCTAAACGTCCTTAAGTGAGAAAACTCTCAATAAACAAGTTTTAAAAAAATCTTGGGACTAGGTACTAGTTTATTTTGAATATGAAATTACTTAAAGAGCTAGAACATTTTTTTTTATTCAGACAGCTTCCCTAAAATCTGTATATAACAATGTTTCAGTCTGCCATGTTATTTCAAATTAAAAACAAAAATCTAGCAGATAATCACTCTCTAGTCGTAAAGTAATCCCGGTTTACGGTGCTAAATTTACGAATTGGCACTCACTTCTAAAAATAAGATTGAATCACAATATATACATAGCATTAACACATCGACATGACACCTACCTAACAGTTTATATCTGCGAGATCCATATTCCTTTGACAAACACGACAAGTTACATTGGACTGACTGACATTTGACAGAAGGATGATAAACTGAGGCTTACACGTCAAATTTTGAAGACTTACTACTTAAACAAACAAGTGAAAATACCATATTCTATATATTTTTTTCAAATTAAACATAAACTAAATAAATAAACACCCCTACTTCAAAGGAGGGCTTGAAACAGAAAAAATCTTTTATTATAGATAGTTTTTTTTTTATTATTGATAGTATTTCAGCTCTTATGAAACTAGAACTTTTTCCCAAGCAATTTTTCAAGTAAAAAGATTAAAAGACGATTTTAAAAAAAAAACAAAAAAAAAAACAACTTTTATTTATAGGTTCTAAAACATTAATATCATGTGTAATTTATTTAAGAAAAATTATAACTAATCTAAGCCCAATTTTCGTTTGTTTTTCATTTAACTGAACTTTTTTTCAAAACTTGAATAAATAAAAGTTGAAATTTTACCATACATCTAGAACTAAATTACAAAACAAAGAACTTTAATTTTTATTCCTGAAAAATTTCAAAGAAACTGTTAAAATGGAAATTTTTCTTGAAAAGTTCCACAGAAACTATTATATTCAAAAAAGTTTTGAACCTCTGCTTTAAAAACAAAAGAATCATAAATGTTTCCATTATGGTTCAGAAAAAAAGACATACTTAACAAAACATACAACCTTAATCTATCCAAAATTTAAAGACTAACAGACTAACAACAGTAGCTCCCTGGTATGTAAAAAAAAAAACTTAACAAAACGAAAATCTTCGGCACAATATTACTCTTCTACTGCATATTTTTATATGCTAACTAAAAAAGATAGACTGTAAAAATAAAACAATAAAGAGACGGTATGAGAAACAGTAAAATCTAACCGATCGCCTTCTATAAAATGCTTACCACACCGAACCATGAGAAACAAAGCAGAATAGTAGGGGTTGCAATGCGATGCACGTATAAATATTAAACAGGCAATCATTGGTGGCCGTTAAACAAAAGGCAATCAACGCTCAAATAATAAACATTGGATTGGAGTAGACAGGGAGGAGGATTGCATGAATATCACCGCAAAGCAAAATCTATTTTGGAATGAACAACCAATTAGTTCATCAAACCTAAATATAAATATAAAATTGAGACAGCACATAGATACAAAATACTGCATTAATAAAATACATTTGAATACATAAAATCAGAGGATTATTGATATAGTAAACTAGTAAAAAAATAAAATAAAATGACATTTAGGAGGGAAATAAATTTTAATAACAAGCCCTTTTAGCTTCACTAGAACAAACAACACATTGAACATGCATCAATCAACATATATCAAACATTTAATACATTTTTTATACAATAATTTAAAAAAAACTTACGACGAACAAACAAGACAACACATATAATTGTAACAACAAAAATTATTGTAAAATGTATACTAAAACAAAACATATTAGTAAATATGAACATTTGTGAATATGATATGATGTGATTGAAAAATGAGCATAATAAAGAAAATATAATTAAATGAAAGAGTAAATCATAAACAATTAAATAGTTATAATTGATTAAATAATCATTCTCTAAAAGAAGATTATAGAAACATAACGAAATGTAGGACCCGTGAAGGGTTGTGAACAAAGAATCGGTTTTTTATTGAAGAAATTTATTCCAACTGAATTTAGTTTATTTTAGAAAAACGGATAAATTAAATGAAAAAATAGAAAAATCTAAAATAAATAAACAATTTTGTAACAAATATACGATTCCCCCCAAAAGAGAATCGAAAAACATTCAACGTTGTTTTATTTTTTACCAAAATGAAACAATTTGTTTAAATTTAAAAAAAAAATACAATATTTCTGAAAATTTTATCAAATTATGAATTTCTTTTCATGGAGTATTTTACTTACTTTGTTGAAAAAAAATTATCTAAAAAATATTCAAGGATAAGGAATTAACAATCTCATAAAGCAAAATAAACTTTGTTATAAAGTATTTTAAATAAGTTTAAAATAAGTTGATTTGACCCCCGATAAATAATAAAAAATAAACACGTATTTTGGACATAGAAAAAACAGGATTGGCTTTTTAATTTCTTTTTATTTTATTTTTTGTTTGGATGGTTTCCAACAAACGGAATTTTGCTGAAAATCAGATACTAAAGAAAAAGTATAGATGAAAAAAAAAATGATCTGGAAAATTCAAATGAATAATGACAATGATGGCGTAATGGGAATGAAATAATGTAATGGCAAGTATGAAAAAAAAAATTGTTAACAGAAAACTGAATTTAAGTGTGTACCTGATTTCGGTGAGAATCTTCTCATCTCTAACCGGGCGTTTCTAAAAACACAGAAAAAAAATTCAAATTACAGATTTATCTGTATGAGTTTTGAACATTGATATAGACACAAGTTTTTTTTTCTTTTTTTGTAATGATTATTCAATACAATTGCCGAAACAGTGGATGGAATTGCAGCTAAACACAATTCATTATTTAGGCACGAGAATTAAGAAAGGCATATATCTAATAAAGAAGAAGATATTCATTTCTCAGGAGCATAAAATTATTTATTTCAAAAAGTAGGGATTTGGAACAAAATTCAGTTCATAACAGAGGCAGTTAGTACCTAACATATACACTTAAAATATTGATGAATCTAAAATTTAAAAAATATAGAAATGTTATTCTTAATAACGTAAACAATTTCGAATGTAGCAATAATAATAAAAGGTTTAGCAAACCCGAATGTTAGATATCGATACCACCAATATTCTACGCAATACTTTATTTTCAAAAACCTTAAGACGTAGTTCGTCAGTTAAATCACTTATCGTATCCATGAAGGACCATAGAGAGGATAATAGTTTTGTAAATTCTAATTTTTAAGTTATCAGAAAGAATGTCCGAGCAATGTAGTTTTACAACAGAAAAATAACAAACATTTTATGCCTTCAACGGAGCCATAGTTTCCTCCAGTTAAAAACCTAAACCTCTGTACGTACGAAATCGTCGCAGTATTTTGGATATAGGTAGCTTAATTTTCACAGCCTACAATTTAAATACTCTATTCAATCCCCTCCCACTAAATACCGTACTTCCGACATCTATCCCTCTCCTCACCGAACTGCTGCGTTTGACAAATCCTTAAATAATTCAAGCAGTATCCTTCTGGAATACCATTCCTCCCGATATCCGACATGCACTATCAGTTTCCTCATTTAAATCTCTCCTTTTTAAGCACCTACTACTTTCTCAATCCGATTGATGAAATTTTACATAAGAGAACTTTTTAAATTCAGATATTGATTTTGTTTACTTATGTTGTCTTATTTTCTCATGTTTGTTTTATATATGCGTATGTTTTTGTTTTGTTTTCAGTGCTTGTTTTTTTTTCTCCTTACAATATTTTTATTTTAATGAGATTTGTAAATATTTAATTTAATGTATGGCCACACAGCCATTTTTTCTGTATATATAATTTGTCCTAAAGGGAAAACCTCGGGATAATAAATAATATTTTCATAACGAAATAAACTACTCCAGGAAAATGTAAGATCAGAGCATTACTCAAAAGACAACACTCAGCAGCATGGCTCAAAGAGAATAAACTGTTATAAAGGTTTTCTAAGGAACGTAGATCAGCCTCTGCAGAGACACTCCATAAATTGGAATGTCCTTGTAGAAGATTTACATCCCGTCTAGCTGCAGGACATAATTCAATCTCGATGCATCCTTCAAGATCGGAGTGGAGGACCGTGTCTCGGGACGATAGCAAGGATAAACAAAAAAAGAAAGAATGACAATGGAGGAAAATAAGCGGGGGAAAGTCGTTAACGGTTCTGACTTATCTTTTCGATGACTAAAGAAGGAGAGGCGAGGATTCCACGTAAATAAGAAAAATAAATAAAAACATATGCCCACTCATTTTTTGAGAGTATATAACTTTTTATATGCTCAGGTATACAATGAAATCATATAATACACAACCGACTAATAATGTGCAAAATCTATGGGACGAAGTTGTCTTGTTGCAGCTTTTAAAAAAAAAAAAAAATTTAATAAGAGTATAAAAATAATTATGATTTTTATTTTATTTTAATATAAAATGACAACACAAAGAACTCTAAGTGAGCTCTATTTTTGACACCCGAAAAAATCTTAATATAATAAAGATTTGTAAAATGATAAAATGAAAATACAATTAAACTAAATCATCTATTTCAATATTTGCTAGACTTCAAAAGTAGAAGTGAAAAGCTATGATATTAACATAAGTATGAAGATAAATTAAAAGCAACTTATAATAATAGATAATAGATTAATGTTTTTAGATTAGTATTTTTTTTTATTCTAAAATCAGATATCTATTCTATTTCATTGCTATTAGCGACATAATCACCATACAGACGTTGGGTACTTAACTATTCGTATTAAGAACAGAACAGACTTAAATCTGCCTTCTCAAATTTGGAGAGACTTATGTTGGGATGAAAAATAATTTAAGTAAAAAAGATTAAAAATTGTACTCTCTCCATCAAATCGTTGCTACGTATTCTTTCAAAGATAAAATAACTTTTGAGTAAATTCAAAATTTAAGAGAAAAAAAAGGTTTGAACAGTCAAAACTAAACATATAACAGTTGCGTTATTTTATTAGCACATATAAACTATAGAGTTTAATTTTTTACATTAAGAGTGTTGCCCTTGAAAACATCAAACCAATAATTTTAAACTTTGCATACGAGCCGATGATATATAAAAGTACGAAATCAAAAGTACATTTAGAACCCCCATACCAGACTGAAACGACTAGAAACCGCCCGGCGTTTTCGAATACTCCAGCACATACTAGACAAACGCTCTAAGCTTTCAATCAATTACAAACGACTCATATATATGACAATAATAAGACGTATTTGGACTTACGGAATTGAGCTTTGGGGCTCCACTAAACCATCGAATTCCTCTCGTATCCAATCCTTACAACCCAAAATCCTTCGTAAAATCCTCAACGTTCCCTACTTTGTCACAAATAAAATCATCCATAAAGACCTTAATGTTCCATATGTTTCCGATTTGGTCCAATCCATTTACCTATCCTTCTATAACAAACTGCAGAACCATCCGAATCCTCCCGTTTCAAACCTTGCTTCCTCCTTGATCCCTGATAACCCTCCGAGGCGTCTGAAAATAAGATGGCCTCGGGACCTTCTAATATAGAACTTTAATTTGAGTTCTACCAATGGGTAGTTTCTCTTTATGTTGTACATGTCATGTTACCAATGTCACATTTACTTATTGTATTTTCTATTTAATACAGTTGTAAATTTCATTAAAATAAAAAAAAAAACATTTAGAACAAAATGTGAATAACACTATATATAATATCGTATTTTATTATTATTTTTTAGTTTTGTATTTTATTAATTAATTTATTGTTATAAGGATATAAAAATAAATATAATTTATTTATTTTTACTTTGTGCTTCCATCCACATGCAAACACCAACCAACGAACTTCTCTTCAACTAAAACGAAATATAGAACAATAAAATATTTAACAATAAAAAAATCTAGCGTATGATAATCAAATTATAAAACTTGAACTCATAAAACATATGTATTTTAGGTTAATAATTGTAAAATTCCAACCTTGTGTCTATAAATGGGGGTTAAGAATAAAATAACCCGTCAACGGGCACCATCAGGACCCAAAAGACACCTAACCCAAGATGAAATCACTCAATGACATTCAACCGAATACTGAAATGAAGGCGAGGAAATTTGAATAAAACAGCTGATCATATAAAAACAATGAAAGACAAAAAACATTCTAAGTTCCAACCAAAATACATACATATGCTACTAGTCCGTGGTAGAGAACCCTTTTTATCGAATAATTAACATCTGCCTGAAAATTCGTAAATAGTTTCATGTCATTGTAACCTACAACTATTTTATTTACGATTGGGGCGTTTTCAATCTGGAGAGGGGCTAACTTTGTCTATTTAATTAGGCACTAAAAACTGGAAAATATTTATTTGTTTTCTACTTGGATCGTAAGATAATTTGATCACAAAATCAAAAAAAAATATGACCTTAAAAAATATTGAAGCGTTTTGTTATTGAGACGTGACCTACACCTCCAAAATTTCAAAATAACGAGGTTATAATGGACAAACGGCCCAATATTTTTGTAGGCCACATTTTTTTTATCGATTTTGTGATTAAATTATCTTACGATCCAAGTAGAAAGGAAATGTGTATTTACGAGTTTTAGTACCTAATTAAATAGACAAAGTTTGTCCCCCTCCAGATTGAGAACGACCCAATTCCAGGAGTTTTCGTAAATAAAATATCTGTAGGTTACGAAAAATTCAAGGATTTAAGATTAAAGATTAAAAGTTGGAAATTTAAAGATTCTAAAAACATGAATATCTAATATATAAGGTCATAAAATGTAATGAAGAAATGTTTAAACAAAAAGCTATTGACTTTTAATGTAGTTGATAATATCTACATCTATACTATTTAATGGGAAATTAACTTTTCCAAAAAAAATAGATATAAAACAATTTTTATTTTCCAGAAACTCACTCATCATCCAAATCCTGTAGCACAATCCCTATCTAGCTCCAGCCATCCCTATAATCCTCCCCGGAGGTTAAAACGGCAGTGGTCCCGCGAACTTTTGTAAATATGTATATATTGGAGTGCTGGCAATGGCCAGATTCTCCACTCATGTCCTGAGCGTCTGTTGCTCTAGTGCCCTCCATCTGTCTCCATTGGCTTGCAATACCAGTGACGCGGCTGGGAGAGAAGCACTGGGATCTCCTGGGATCCTGCCTTGGCTTCCACATTTGGGGGACAAGGCATGACTCAGAATCCTCTGGGCGAATGTAAATATTGTATATAGGTGTGAATGTGTTTTATACATTTTAATTTAATTTAGCTTTCTCTTTTTTTCTTCTTTTTTATTTTTTTTTTATTTTAATTTATTTATTAATTTATTTGTACTATGTATGTTAAACTCTTTTATATTTTTTCTTTTATCTCTATTTTAGTTATCATTTGTTTCAGCTTGATAAATCAAAAATAACACTGCCTAGAATTATCATAATTTAAATTTCTTGTCTTATGTTTTTTTTTAGCACTTGACACACCTTAGTTTGTAAGGTAATGTTTATGTGTACGTATTCATTAAAAACCATCCAGCTAATTGCAAAACATCACACGTATTAACATATATCTCAGAAGATAAATAGCTAAACGTATATTTAAATAAGTTCACATGTTTTATAAATAAATGTTTCGTTTATAAGAATATTATAAGAAGAACA